GCAGTATCTATGCTCTCCCTCACCCAAGGTGAGGGACTTTTGCCGTAGAGGCTAATTGCACGTTCTAGCCTTCCCTTAGCATGCCTCATACCTCACAAGTGTTAGCTGTATGTCTCTGTTGGGACTTCAGCCTACCCAGCTTCTGCCCCTTTATCTAGACCCACCAGCCTAGACCCACTATGTAGGGTCAGGCCCCGAAGCTCTAGCCCCTTAGGCTCTGGACACATGGTCCTATACCCTGTTCCCTAACTCTCTACTGGGACTTCAGCCGATCCAGCCTCATCCCCTTTTTATATGGCTAGGACCTTTACCCCATACCTATAGTCTCAGCTTAAAGACTCTAGCCCCCAGCTGGGCCCCTGGCTCTTATCTGCTGTACCCTCCTAGCCCCTCTATAGCTGCACCCCTTGGATGCTAATGAGATCCTCACCTCCCCTGCAGCCTCTGCCACCAACCACCAGTTCACAAAATGCAACATAAGCATTAAGCTCCTGGACTATAACAAAATAAAAGTAGAAAGGCAATCTTCCCTGCTTACAGTGGCTCCATCTCTGCATCCCAGCATTTGCTGCTCTGCCTCAAAGAGCTGTTACAGCTTCTCTGGGGGTTCTCCGGAGTCCACCCTCTCACACAGTCACACCATGGCCAGCTCAGACCAGAGTTTATATAGCTCTGGCCTCAGCTCTCTTCTGGTCACCTGACACTCTAATCAGCCAGCCAGGCTCAGCTTTTAACACCAGCTCTGCCAGCCTGCTATGCCCTGAAATTTCTGTTCTTAAGGGAGTTGTCATGCTTCCTAGTAACCGGGCTCAGGTTCCCTGTTACAATGTGTATTTACGCTGGCTTAAATTTATGCAGGAATAGGCCAGCATCTACACATGCAGCCGGTCGAGCGCATTAACGCTGTGTGTGGACTAAAGTTAGTCCCAAGTCAGTCCACACACACAGTGTTACTGCATAGTAAGGCATCTACACATTAGTTACTGCGCAGTAACTAATTGGGCATAAATTTGATACCTTCATGATGCGGTTATCAAATTTACACTCAAGTCGGTGTAAGTCACCATATTTACCACACAGCACGGGCATGCACATGTAGATGCATATTCGTACTGCGCAGTAATTTTGGTTACTGCACAGTAAATGCACATGTGTAGATGCGCCCTGTGTGGAGCTTTCCCTTCTCTAAAATGGGGTGAATGATTGGCTACCTCAGAAATGGACTGCAAGGGTTCAGTAGTTTTTGCGTTTGAAGATCAGAGCAGTGCAAACAATACATGCTAAATGGAAGTATGAATAGTAACAACATTGCAAGAGAAGGGTCATAATCATGTGACTTTTTTATATAATGGCCAAAGCCTGCCAAGCATCTATCAAATGGGAATATCATGTGTCCTGTGTTACAGGGCTGTGTGAAGCTTACTTCTTCCTAGCCTACAAGGACCTTCCTCATTTCACTTCAAGCTATAGTTCTGCTCTCATTTTGTCCTTTGTTTCTCCCAGTCATTTTGCCCTACAAGCCAGTCTAGGCTCCATGCCTTCTTTCTCCTGTCCTCTGCGTAAGACATAGCCTGCTGAGAACCTCGTCTTCCCTTAAATTCTTTCTTTTAAACCTGCCCATTGCTCTTCCTTAATAATTTCCACTACTTTACCCTCTAGGTTTGTCGTCTATTTTTTTTGTCTTTTTTGACTCATAGCTCTTTGCATCTGGGATTCTTTACGTACCAGATACTTTTTCAGCAACTGTATAAGGGCAAGATTTGAATATGCTCTATCGCCTCAAGTAACCCCTTACTCTTTGATAGTACCATTGGCCTAGATGGAATTATCCCTCACTATTAATAATTTTGCCAGAGTCTAGTCAACCAAGGGGCAGGGGGTGGGGGGTGCGCTCTGCTGGGTTTTTTAATGTGCAAACTCCTAAGATGTTGAGAAAAGCTGGTGCTTATTTAAACCCAGGTCAACTTTTGAAATGTCGTGAGCAATGATTTTTGCATTACTATGGACATCTTTCTTTGAAAACTTAAAAGCTCATTTACATGAAAAAGATTAGAGTCTTGGTGTTTTAAAATTCAGTGTCAAGTATTTGAAGATGACAGATCCTAGTATATAATTCTTCAGGCTTTCATGAAGAAAACTTGACTTTTTAAACTTTTAGTGATTTAAAAAGCAAAACAAAACCCTGTTTCGTTTGAATAAATGCCCAACCCCTGAATTTCAGGGAAAATTCAAGATACAGTGGCTAAAAGCTTTAGATGTAAAGAAGGCTCAGTTCCTTTGTATGTGTGTCTAGCTGTAGTTCGTAGCCCTTTTTCTTTCTCTCTCTTCTATTGTGGTATCCTTGCTCCCTGAGACAGAAGGGCAAACAGCTCCCTCTGACACCAGCAACCATGACGCTTCATTAGTCAGCTTGTAGGAGGTAGGGTGACAGCTGTCTAGCTTTCATCCCTCTCCTGGAGACTTTAGCTTATCAGCTTGGCAACACACTGCACTTGTTTTGAGATGCTTCCTGAAGTCTTCTGTTTGGGAATATGATGCCAAGTTGTCTCAGTAAATGTGCATCTGAGAAATTGGACAACACTGCCTCATTTTTCTTTGAGTTGCTATCAGCTCTTTTGACAGGAAACTGATGGCCCTATAACCCTTATAGTCTTTTATATTTTTTTGTTTTTGTTTTTTCCATCTCTGTCAGCAAATGATGAATTTAGCATTGTGAATCACACTTCTCAGAAATGTATAAACTTGTTCTGCTCATGTGTGGCCTGACTCTGGTGGGTGCTGAGCACGTCCCAGTCCTCTGAGCTCTCACAGAAAGTGGCAGGCACTACATGGAACCGGGCTAATAGAGTCTAGCTTTCATGGATGACTGTTGAGTCCTACATTAGCCGCATTCACTGCATTTTGTTTTTATAACATTTAGTTGTATGATTTTCTTTTTCTCAGCTCCTGAAGTCTTGGCCCAGAAGCCCTACAGTAAAGCAGTGGACTGTTGGTCCATCGGGGTCATTGCTTACATTCTGTAAGTATTTATTAATTTCTTAATCATAAAACTCAGTTAATTTGTAACATGCACCCTCCACTGGGCTGCATAGTTCCTCCAGGCAATGGGCACTCATCTCTACTATCCGAGGACCACAGCAGTTTGAACCACAGACAGGCCCTCCACTTACGAGAAGGCTGCTGTCTCAGCTGGTTCAACTGGACAGAAGCAGCATCTTTTAGAACTAAAAGTATGCGTGCGACACAGAGGTTGTCTGTACCAGTTGCTGGCCATCCCATATGTACATAGTGTGCGTACATGTGAATTTTAATGCTCCTCTTACATGTCCAGCTGCCCTCATTTACACAGATGTCAGGATGAAGTGGCTGCAGGCATTCTCTTCGTAGGGGTTTCTCAGGAGGGCCTGTAATCTTAATTCACATCTCTGGGGACTATATCCTTTTCTGCAAGCTGAGCGGGGAAAAAAACTGGCCTGTGATGACAAAGAAGGAAAAGTATGGATGAGGAAAGAGCCCTCAAGGGTGCTTTCCTAGCTCCCAGTAATTTTTTTCCATTGCTAAAATGACCTTTTGACTAAATTTTACAGTCTTGAAAATAATGAAAATGAAAAAAAATGAAAACAAACTGAAATTAAGCTAGTTTTTTGGCAGCTTTTGGATTTTAGATTTTAATGAAAACTTTCTGTCAACGTTTGTCATAGGGGCATTCCTTTCTGTAATCCTCCCTATGCTCGGGTCATCAGGGTGAGGTGAACTGAATATTGCATAATCTGTTTTTATTGGTTGTCAGATATCAAATTCAAGGCTAAGACCTTGCTCATATAATTAAAACCTTGCTCATGTAACTGACCTTAGTGGTGCTTCAGATGACAGTAAGGATTGGTTGAATGAGGAAGGTAAATGATACCAGATTGTTAAGCCATAGACAGTGTTGCTGCAAAGTGTCCCCTTACTCCACAGGAGCTGAACATCCAGAACCAACCCTTGCATTAGTTCTACCGCATGGAACTCCAGTGCATAGGAACTGAGAATTTAAACCAATGCTTTCACCACATTTGTTGTCCTGTATATGTTTAGGGAGAAATACCACAGTTATGGGATGTGAACTTCCAACATCTAGCATGGCAGAGTAAGGTGCTATCCCTGTTCCCAGCTAGCCCAACTTGTACATTTAGGCTAGGGACAGACATTACACATAAACTGGTTTAAGTGATCAGAAACTGGTTTAAACCTGTAACAGCACATAACTTCAGTGTACATAAGCCAGTTTCAAAATGGCTGAAACTGGTTTAATTTAAACCTGATTGAATGTAGTATCAGACGTAACTGATTTGGGTCAAACCAGTTTATGCAATGTCTGTCCCAGACCCTTTCCTAGTTTAAGTTAAACTAAAGTATCCCAGCATCCCACATGCTTTGCAGCCCTGGGCTGGGCTGTGCTCTCTGCTTCAGAGAGCAAAGATGGCCCTGCCTCTCTGCTCCCTAGCTGGAGCTCCAACGGAGGCTGCAGGCACAGCAGGGCCTGCCTTGCTTTCCCCTGCCCCACCCACCCTCTCTGCTCAAACAGGGATCCCCCCTCCTTCCCTCGCATCTCCCACAGCACGGACCCCAGCCCCACAGACCCTAGACATGTGGTATGCTAGCTAATGCTGAATGGTGTCTATGTGGGTGTGTCTCCCTATTTCACTGGGACAGGCAGACAGAACAGGGTCTGCATAGGACTTTTTGAAGCTAATCAACAGGTCATTTGGTAATGTCTCTCTGTTCCTTCCTTGGAAAAAGCTGTTTAAGAAGAGTGTGAACTAATGAGAAAGGCGTTGTTTTGTTGTTGGTCTGACAAACACTGTTATCAGCCCCTTGCTAGCTGCCTTGCCTGTCAGGTTTGCAGACAGTATGAATATCTGGGGTATGAAGGCATAGGTATGGCAACACTCCTGCCCCTTGAGAAGCAAGTGGGGAAAATCCTGGGACAGTGCAGGCAGAGTTGGGGTTTACACTCCTCCCTAATCAGAGTGTCCTGCCTGGCTATGCCCCCGCTCAGCTCAGCACTATGGAAAAGAAGGGAGGGCTGCTCTAGCACCCCTCAGCTTCTAGCTTGAGCCACTGCAGGCATGTGCCTGCATTTCTTCAGTCCAGAGGGAATGTCTGTACAGTTGCAAACTGATTCAGCCTAGGCAGATTAGACTAACCTGCAAAGATTGAATCAATTCAGGCTCAGGATTTTTGAATGTCTGTCCCTAGCCCTAGGGCATGTCCACTCATGCCAATTTAAGCATTAGCCATTTTTAAGGTGCGTTAAGGGCACAGGTCTATATGTGTATGCCCTTAATGCACTTTAAAAATGGTGATTTTAGGCTATGCATGCCTAAATTTGATACCAGATTTTGCAGATACCTAAAGCACCTGCTAAGGCACATTAATACTTTGTATATTGACTGACTTGGGACTAAGTTTAGCCTTAGCTTATTCACATGTAGATGCATGCCTAGATCACCTTAATGTGCATTAGGCAAATGTGCATTGAATTTAGGCATGCATAAAAGCACATGTAGACATGCCCATAGTGTAGATTACATTGTAAGCCTTAACATAATAGTTTTTCTGCAAAGAGGTATAGGAGGTGGTATGTGATCCTGAAAAGGATACAGCTCCAATTTCACCCCTTTTTTTTGTTCTTCATTAAAGGATAGTCCATTTTCTGCCCCACAGAGTGAAAGGGGTTAGAAGTCGAGACGGAATCTGAGAACCTCTCACCTAGTCTAGTTTAGCATAATCTAGTTTTGTCAACATAAATGCGCATATAGCACAACGGGGCACCAATGGGTGCTGTTGAAAGCTGCCCTGGGTGCCTGCACATATGACATTAACCTTAAGTAGCAGGCCCATTGGGAAGAGAAGGGACCTACTACCTGTATTATTTGAGGGAGATTAGTACAAGTGGTGGGTGTCTGTTTTACTGGAGCATAAGCATTCTAGGAGCAGTAACCTTTGTGTGTATGTGATGTAAATAATAACCAAGGATGTTGTCTGCAGCCTTAAACTATTTACATCAGCTGGCATTGGATAGCATCGGAGTCTCTGAAATGCATTTAAACTGCTGCTGTTGAAGCTGCTCAGATTGACCAAAGGGGCATAGCAAACTTATTTCCTTTGTATAAAGAAGTGGGGAATGGCCTTGCTGCTATCAACTGTAACAGAAAACAAAGTAATATCTTGTGATGTTTATACTTCCAGTGGGTTTTACCCTTTTTTTTCTTTTTACCCAACTGCCGGTTCTATGAGACTTTAGCAAAAAAACCCCGCAAACCTCCACTGCTACAGCATCAAATTGTTCCTACTTTGTTCCTTTTCCCTTTGTGCAAACATTTTATGGCCTGTCAACATGAGTAACTTTTTCATGATGCAGTACAGCTATTTTTGTCAGCACAGTGTCTAATTGCTGTATAATCCATTGCTGTGTAATGTTCATTATTTGTCTGTCACCTGTATTTATTTTAGTCTTGAGCATAAATTTTAGGGGGTGTTTTCCCCAATGCCACCCAAATGACTTTTTATTTTGTTTTAAAGGAGTAGTGGAGTTCTAGTTTTTAAATAGTAACCCCCTCTCACCCCAGTAATGTCAAATTTATGAGTACTTTGCCACCCTACATGAATGTCAGCAAAGTTCTCATCCAAAAACTTTGCAGGGGGCTGGATTACCCTTGGGGCAATCTTTAACAGTAGCAAGAGGCAAATGAATTTTGCACGTAGAATCAAATTCAGCAGTGCTACGTAAGACATTGGATCAGTTCCTGGCAAGAGCACTGGGAGAGTGGGAGCAGAGCCTTTGCAGAGCAGGGTGGATATCATCAAAAGGCTTCCAGGTTTATGTAGGAATGAATTTGATGAAGAATGCTTTGCATTTGAAAGTTCATCTAAGTTTCTCCCATCCATGCGGTTGGTCTAATAAAAGCTATCACCCACACAAATCCTTGCCGCTTACAGAAATCATGTCACTTTCTGATGTTCCTTGAAAAAGGAATAGAGTCTTACACCTGCAAACATGGGGTTGGAGGGTCCACAACATATTACTGAATGAAGCAATCCTCCTCATATGCTTTCTTTAAGGTCTGACTCTTCCACTTACTAGCAGAGGGGTAGTCTGCCGAGGTTGCTCCTACTCATTTCTAAGTCAAATCCTCTGTCCTGCCTGACCTAAGTGTGAAGCATCATAATGGCTCTGTGTCACAAGCAGCTCATAAACTTCCTCATGCTAGATGGTAGGAAACTCAGTTTTCTTGGAGAACAGTTTTTTTCCCATTCCCAGGCTTCTCCACTGCTAGCTTCCCCGTCTGCATTAGAGTTCACCATAGAGCATTCAGTATGGAAACCTTCAACTGTCCATCAGATTGCACGGTAGTGGGGCTGGCTGTAGCTGCCTGATTTTGCAGAGGTAAAGCTATTCAGCTCTATTCAGCCACGGCACATCCACCAGAATGTTTTTTTTCCAGTGGTGATGTCCATGTTTTGCTAGTGGGTTTTACGCTACCAGATACCCCAGAAGATAGTCTGTTTTATTATTAGCTGTATCTGAAGGCAAGAGCTCAGCTGGTGGAGGCTGAACCACAATGTGCCCTCTAGCCTTGGATAATGAGTACATCCTCTCAGTGATCTGTGTATATCTGTTGGATGAAAAGTTTCAATTCTGCCCTTGAGACATGACTTCCTACACTAGCAAAGCTACATTTTCTGCCAGTTCCAGTTCAGCAGTATTTCCTTTTGTTTTCAAAGTCAGTTAGTGCTTCAGCTTTATAAGCAAGAGGCTTACACGGCCCTCAGGCCTTAAAACACCATTGGCCCTCCTGGGAATCCCCTGCCTGTTAGGGTAAAATCCATTTAATAACAGTAAGTTCCTATAAAAAGACCGCTTCCTCCTAGTAAGACAAGTGGAATTTTAAGGCTTTTAAATTTTCCATATGGTGGGAAATGAATTTTTATTGTATTCACTAGGAATGTGTAATAATAATGTATTTGCCACCT